AAAAAAAAAAAAAAAAAAAAAAAACACAGAGCCACGTGGCAACAACAGCAACAAACACACATATATGAGTATGTCGAATAATTGTAATATTCATGAGTGCACCGGGGTCGCAATAACTAATATCGAACGTTCAGAGCGAGGGGAAGGTATGAGGGGGTTGCGATAAAGAAATGAAAATGTCCAGTAAGTGGACAGTAATGCGGGGCGGTTTCAGGTGGGGGGTGGTTTTGGGGCGGCTGCGGCTGTCATAATGTTAATACCGCGGGGCGCATGCAACCTGATAAAGGAAAATTGAGTGGAGGATAGTATTCACACTACGGCCGTACTGATTACTATATTTTTCACCCTTTACACGCTTTAAATAACTTCATCAAGCTCGGCCGCAACTGAATTTATTATTTAAAAAATATATTATTATTATTGTCCCGACCTGACGTGCAGTTAAAGTAAAAAAAAACTAATCCCTGCTGTTTCGTGCATTTCTCTCTACATTTTGTGTGTATGTGTGTGTGTTTACGTGTGTGGGGACGGCGAACTACCTGTTATCGAAATGCTGCTCTCTCTCATTGTATGTGAAATTTTATACGCAATTAATTTTAATTAGGTAATTAACATAACACTTTGCGTTGCCGTGCTCTTATGACGAAAGCTCCTATCAATTACAGGAATAAACGAAAAACTTTGAGCATTTCTTGTTGTTATTGTGCGAGTTGTTTTTAAGTACATAAAACCAGGTTAATTTGGTAACTAACCTAACCTAACATAATGTAAAACTACGCTTACCTAACCTAATAAAATTTAGTTTTAACGTAGAAGACATATTTAAAAAATATATAAAAACATATACAAAGTAATTTGAAACAATACAATTGTAGGGTGTTTCTTTTTCTGTAATAAAAAATTAATTAATTCTATAAACAAATATAAAATCAAATGGTTTAAATACAAGGAGGTTTTTTTCGTATAATAAAATTAAAATGTGATATTATTTGTATGTAAAAAATCTAACTAATATTTAAAAAAAAATCTTCATATGTTGTTACAAATGATGTGAAAAAATATATTTCTAATTAAATGGTTTTGTATTAAAAAAATATTATTTTGTATAGAAAAAATCACTCTTTGCATATAAATAATCTAATTAATATATAAAAAAAAACTTCTTGCATTCTTTTGAAAATACTCTTGACTTGCGAACTAGTTCTGTTCCAAAGGTTTGTTCGTATGTAGAATTTATTTGTAAGTCGGGGGAGTTTTAAAAATTTCAAAATATACTTATCTTACCACATTTTATCATCGCTTTTAATTTTATATTTGTTAAAATCTATATTACAGACTGCATAAATTTGAAAAAATAGATTAAAATAAATAAAATACTTACAAATACTTTTCAATGTAGACATCACAATTATTTAATAAAAGAACGTCAAAAGAAACAAATGCAACAAAACAGATGGTACATCTTCCAATAATATTATATTTTATTAAAGAAATTATCAAATTTTGTTTGAACGGTTAATTTTTTATCACTATATATCTCCTTGTAACAAGTTAGAGCTTTTAGAATTTTAATCGTAGGTCCGAGAGTTCGTAAGTCGGGGGATACCTGTATATTGAAAAGTAGATTTTTTGTACAAAATAAAATCTAATTATTTCTATTTTGTTGCAAATGATTTTGAAAAATTATATATTTTAAATGAGATTTATTTGTATAAACTGATTTCTGATTAATATAAGAAAAACAATCAAAATCTTGTTGCAAATAATTTGAAAATAAAAATTTGGTAATGAAATAAATAAATCTGATTAAAATATATAAAAAAAATC